TTCATACATAAGTTCATATGTACGTTTATACGTACGTTCATACATACGTTTATACATACGTATGTATATAAACGTATCTACGTATAAATAGAAAACGCATGAACGAAAGAGAGCTCTAATACATCATCCTCTCAATGAATAGTTACCGTCGCAATCATCGTATCAAAAAACGTCTGTAAGGATATTATACTTTAAATGTTAAACATAAGAATTGTAACGTGAGTAACGTTTACGTTACTCTGTGTGAAATTAATAAACAATATTCATCGATGATGTATTTCAGTATAAAGAACTTGGATTTCGAAACGTGCTTACTCGTAGTAATACATGGTGTATTAACAAACATAAGACATAGCAGATATATAAACATATCAATATGTGTGATTCGAAGTTTAATGATTACCTAAATTTAAATCTTCGTACATGTCATTATACGATTCATAGTGTTACTGATGGAACATACAGCGAAGCTCATCTACACATGGACATTGTGGAATATATATTACTTTAATGTCATAAAATATAATTATGATATCTATATTAAAGTAAAATCGCACACAAATATACAGGCGAAATTGAAATAATTCTTGATGCGAAAATAATAATTTTCAATGATAACTTGAATATGCTGCTGAAAAATATGAAATGGTGAGCGCTAATTAGTGAGACTTTACGGCGACATTACTGATTCAGGCAGTTGGCTTACTACATACACTGAGGATTCAGTGGAATGCGAAACTTCTGAAAATTTGTGGTGGGAATCACTATTTAAAAAAAGAGACTTATGATGCATAAGTCTTATTACATTAGTCGCTCTGTGGACCGCTTCTATTACATAGAGCAGATTGCTTTTACTGTATCAAAGTAGATACTACCCTTGGAAACGTCTCACGCTATGAATTATTTCGTGAAAAAGAACATTTTTTCTTTGTAGATATTTAGAATTAATTAATAATAAATAATGTGTTGGAAGCGCGCTCTCAATACCGTTGACATAGAGGGCGAGACGCGTGTTACCGGCCGAACAGCGAGTTAGAGGAAGGTGCTGGAATGGCCGCGTGTGACAGAAGAAGAAGATGAGATCGGATCGCAAGCTGAGCGAGTGCTGTCCGTTCCCGCCAATAGAACTTTTTACTTTTGCCTTTTTTACTGCCGTTGTTACTATGGATGATCCGAGCCATATGCTCTTAATGTTTTTGTAATAAAGTAGCGTGTTCGTGTAAAAGTACGAAGAAGTGTCTAATATTACTTAATAAGTAAGAGAACCTTACGATCCCGAAATCGCGGCTGCAACATTCTAGTGACCGTGACAGGACTGAGTAATTTCGTAGCCGTTTTATATCAAGCAGAGATCGTAAGAAAGTAATCCGTAGAGATGGAACAAGTAAAGTTAACGTTAAGAATAACACGATCCACCTTTACGAGAGTGTACTTCCTTCCAGATTGAGCAATCGAAGAAATCGCCGGACATAACTTTGTTGCAAGTCAGCTTCGCGTTGCTACGAGACAAAATGAGTGAGCTAAATCAGAAGCTGCAGACCTTGATGATCGAAGCTGGAGAGCTTGAAAAAGCCATTGGAAGAGAGGCACAGCACGCAGATGAGTACGCCACGAAATACCATCAAGCAAAGGTCGGACTAATCTTTCTATTAGAGAGGAAGAATGAATTCGAAACGCCCGACACCGGTTCCGCTGCAATGGACTACCACGACAATACAGGAAAGTATACATAAAATTGCCGAAAATTGAATTAAGAAAATTTGGCGGTGATATCAAAGATTGGCTTTTGTTTTGGAGTATTTTTAAGAAAATTCATAAAGACGCGACGTTGTTGAGGAAAGATAAATTCCAATATTTAATACAGTCTATGGTAAAAGACTCGCGCGCGTTTGAAGTAGTGAACAGTTTTTTACTAACGGCCGATAATTATGAGAAAGCCATACACAGCCCCGAGTCTCGATTCGATAAAAAAGACTTATTGATTGAACATTATGTGCGCGAACGTTTAAAGTTAGTCTTAAGCAAGAATAAAAACATGTCTCTCACAATTACTTATGATAAATTAGAGACGCATATACGAGCATTTGAAACTTTAGGCGTGACAACAGAAATGTGCGCAGCAATGTTGCTTTCTTTAGTAAAATCCTCAAGCACAATTTCTCTCGCTTCTTCAAGAAACTGGCGAGGTTCGATGTGTCCAGAGTTTATTACCGCGCCGGTCAGTATACAGCTTTCGAACGCGATATCTATCTCGCGCCATTTGTCCCGCGCTGTATCCGGCACTTACTTAAAACGTCCGCACCGAATGCTTTAAACTTTCGAATCGCGCGATATGAGCGATCAACGATTGTTTAACACCGATCAGTAATCACGACTTTTAATGCTGCTTCCCCCAGCGATTCGATGAAATCATTGCATCGTTGTTCCCATGCAAGAAATTCTTCTCGCGTATTCAACTGAGCGGCTTGTTCATCAGATTAAGCTCCGTTTGCTCCATATTATATCTTTTTTTTCACAGTCTTTTCATTAAAAAAGTTTTGAAAAAATATGTATTTTTAGTCTGTTTTTGTACAATATCTTTAACAAAACTTTCACAACATCTTGTATCACTGTGTGCAAATAGAACATTTGTTACACGGCATTATTTAGTAACGAAAATCTTTGCATTCCGAACAAGAATAACCTTCGAGAATCGCACATATGTCAGTATCATGTTTTTGAACGGCACGAAGACTTGAAAATTGATCATTTATTCTTATGATGCGTGATGAGCAATATCTTCCATGATCATCAGTGTAGTAGAAATCAATTTAGCGCATCTTTTTCACAGGACGTTTTAAGATGTTTATTTGAACTCGATTTAAATCTCGATATAATATATAATAATTATATCATCATCGTTCTCTAATGTCACTGCCGAAACACGAATCATTTGATAGAGCATGATCTTCATCCGACATTTCCTGGTCAGATATTTTTTCATGTTGATCATTTATTTCTTCTTCCATTACTTCATCCTCATGAGGTGCAAAATCCATTTTTTCATTAAACATACTGATATAACACATCGATATAATGTTAATAGATATACTAGGCCGGTTTTGGATCAATTCGTATAAGTGCGTATATGTATATGCGGTATGTGCGTGCGTGCGTGCGTGCGTGCGTGCGTGCGTGCGTACGTGAGGGTGGGGGGAAGTACGTTGCTAGACATGGCATTCAGAGAGAGAGAGTCTGACATCACTAGGCAAAGGGACCGAGGAAGAGAGAGTCGACGAGACTGGACGAGGGGACCGCGGGAGGGAGACAGGGCCCACCATGTTATTCTCTCTCTTCCACCCATTATAAGGTGCAGTTTTCTCCCTCCATTCGTTACAGCCCTATACTTACTCATGCTCTCTCGCTTCCTCTCGTTGCAGTCCCATACCTACCATATTATTCATGCTCTCTCTTCTTCCGCCGTTGTATTCTCCCCCCTCATTATTTTTTTCTATTCGATTTTATTAAGATGGGTATTCATTTAACGATTTTTAAATAATATGACTTAGCATCTAAATGTAATCATTTTTTTAGTTGTAATGAGCGCCTTATCAACTAATATACAAAGTATGACGAAGGAATGGTGTAGGAATAAATAATTTTAAACACAGAGTAATATTTAGGGTACAAGTATGAAGTGCGGATTTGAGACAACATGATGCAGTATGTAGTATAAAGATTTGACGTATATGCTATTTTGTTGTGCCAACAAGTGTCAAACGCGCATAAGTGATAAATTGAAAAAGTGTTTGCATAGTATTGTTTTGCTGTGTTCAATATGTCGAAATTTGTGCCAAATAAAGAGCATTCGCGGACAGCATTAATTTTGTTTTCATTTGAAAAAACTGCTGTTGAATCATACCAATTACTTCGAGAAGCTTATGGTGAACTTATTGCTCCATCGTAAGATATGTGTGAACGATGGTTTCGGCGTTTCAAAAGTGGTGATTTCGATGTTATAGACAGGGAACACGGAAAACCGTCAAAAAGATATGAAGATGTAGAATTGTAAACATTGTTGGACGAAGACGATTCACAAACACAAAAACAACTTGCAGAGCAATTAAGCGTTAGTCAACAAGCTATTTCCAATCGACTACGAGAGATGGGAAAGATTCAGAAGGTCGGCAGATGGATACCACATAAATTGAACGAGAGGCAGATGGAGAGGCGCAAAAAATCATGTGAAATTTTGCTCGAACAATACAAAAGAAAGTCGTTCTTGCATCGTATCGTGAGGATAAAAAGTGGATATATTTTGAGAATCCCAAGCGCAAAAAATCATGAGTAGCCCCAGGCGCACCATCCACATCGACCGCAAGACCGAATCGCTTTGGCAGGAAGACGATGCTCTGTGTTTGATGGGACCAGAAGGGTGTGGTCTATTATGAGCTGTTAAAGCCTGCTGAAACGGTTAATACCAAACAACAATTGATCGAATCATTCGCTACTCGAAAAACGACCAGAATATCGAAAAAGGCAACACAAGATCATTTTTCTCCATGACAATGCTCCATCACATACGGCAAAACCGGTTCGTGACACGTTGGAAGCTCAGTTGGAAAGTGCTAGCCCATGCGACTTACTTACCAGACTTGGCTCCTTCCGATTATCACTTGTTTGCATCAATGAGTCACGCACTTGCTAAACAGCGCTTTGGTTCGTACGAAGATGTGAAAAAATGGCTCGATGAATGGTTCGCAGCAAAAGGGGAAGATTTTTACTGGCGTGGTATCCACAAATTACCCAAAAGATGGGAAAAATGTGTAACTAGCAATGGAGCATACTTTGAATAAACCACTTTTTATCATTCTTCTGAATTTAACGTTTTTTTTAAATCCGCATTTCATACTTGTACACCTGGTATTAATATTTATTTTTAATATTCACATTTTATTTATTCGTGTAACGTATTATAACTACTAGTATAATAATGTTTCTTTTTTGATAATAATGTTTCTGTGTTGGTGTTATTAAGTATTTATAAAAAAGAACTTGTTTATAAAAAGATGTTGTCACTGTTCTTCGTTTTTTCTGTCTGATAAAAAAGCATTATATTAATATTTAAATATAATATTTTAATTACAATATTTTAAATATAATGAAAATAAGATACTTACCGTTAATCCCACATTTCCTCGGGATCGTTGACTTCATATGGACGAAGTTCGAATAAGTAGTGGAGGTCAAATATGTCGAAAGACACCCAATTTAAATTATCTTCTGGGTACTCCTCCCAGAGCTTATCAAGTAGCTGTCTCGACAATCAAACACTTCGCCGGTGATTTATTATGTTAATGAATCCCCGTATCTTTATGTCCCGAAGCTGAACGTCCTAATAAAAATAAATATATATCATTAATTAAAAAAAAATTACATTTATTTAAAAAATAGTGTACATAAAAGCGCAGTTTTATTCATTAGAAGCACTATTTGTATTCCTAATTCATTTTTTAGTGTAGCCGTTCGACAGGCTCATTGTTAACCATTAGCACCAAAAATTTAAAAAGAATCACATTAAAAAATTATACTAAAAGAAAAAGTCACACTGAAAAAAAATCACACTGAAAAAAATCACACATATATCTAAGACTCACCCCCCGAAACCGGTTCATATGTAATTTCTAGTGTTTCTTGCAAGTTGCGCATTTTTCACAATATATAATTTCACAGTTTCGAAGTGCTGCAGCGATAAAATCTTCTGACATATTGACACATTGACCGACTGATTAAGAGTTGCACAAGAAAATGAAGGTATAGCAAAAAAATTGTATTATACATAACCTAAATGACTTAGGTGCATGGAAGACCTGTTTTATAGCATTGACCCAAGATTTGCTTATCCATATTCAAAGGATTTTTTAGTTTTCAATCGAAATAGTTTGTCCGTGGATATCTGATACTTTTCAAAAAGAATCCTTAGCATCCTTTTGCCTCTCGGTCAAAAGTATTAGGTGTTGGAATTAATTCGTAGCGTTTTACAAGTGATGGGAAGTACTTTCATTAATGTATTTTTTAATGCTCATGTGAAATAAATAACATTCTTTCATTAAAAACGCTACGAATTAATTCCAACACCTAATACATCAAAAAAGTACCACATCCGAAAGGTACGACGAAAAACGTAAACACTTTTTTGCAAGATATCATTTACAGAAAAAAATAATAATGTTAAAATTATATATCTCAATAAAAAAACTAATTTTTAATAGTATAAGACAAATGGCGAAACGTGACACGCGCTTTCTTATTTGCTAACTTGAATACTTATTGAATCATACTACCGAATAGCTATTATATTATTAATTGATTCTTAATTATTGGGAAAGGGGAAAGAAATTAAAACATATTTAAAAAAAAATCTCACTTTATTTTTTGCAAATTGATACAATTTTTTTTAACGTTGCGACCACCAGTTGTATATTTTAAATACATTCTATAACAATTCTTATGTTTTCCACATCACATAATATTAGTAATATCTAGATTATTCAAAGATTCTATATCTTCGCAATCAACATCTAAGGTTTCAATGGTCATTGTCACTAGTATATCAGCCAACCATTCACGTTTTTGACGTCCTTTAACATATATGAGAGCCTTATTGTCGTCATTCTCTTCTGCACTGATTATATTATAATCAGATATCTCGCCATATAGTACGGGATCATTCCGTCTTCCCATTGCAATCCATGATGATAAGCACTCAATCAGAAAGCACAAGACTTTTCGGATCTTGTCAAGATATTCCATGGCATAAGGCATGTAATGCCTAACGCATAAAAATGTAATGAAAAAGAATGGCGTCTTTTTTCAGCACCGCTATTTCCTTCACAACAAATCTCCTTCCAATGACAAATCCTTGCAGATCCACAAACGTTGGTATGGCCATAGCAAACAACTTTTTGAGACTGTGCTCGATCAGGAAAAAATCTTAACTTTTATCCCTTATATCGAAAAGAAAGGGGGAGAGTATTATCTCTTTCGCGAAAACGATAATTTACATAATCTTGCGTATTACATTGGACATTGGACTGTATTCGATCACGTGGTCGTGTATGATGAGGCAATAGGCGGTTGTATTCGCAGATACATTTTTTTTTAATTCAAATTCTAATCGTACATCCACATGACACGTACGTGCCACTCTTGACGGACTCATTTTGTCACGAGCAGTCAATAGTTACTAGAGTAAAACCTCTCAAAAAGGAGTTTAATTGGAATGACGGTTCATTTCTTTCACGAAGGATTTGATAATATATGGAATATAAATAAAATATAAATCTAATAATCTAATAACATCTCATACAAAATAGCGGCTCTGCGTTTGTCAAAGTCTAGATTTAGATCATCGTATGGATAAAATTCAGAATTTAAATAAAGTTTCACATTGATTAATTTACAGGTGTCGAAGTAAGTTTTTCGTGCTGTCATGATATTTTTTTTATCGGTTTGTAGAACAAATACAACGTATCATGGTTTCTCTAACTGAGTCGCAGTCTTGATGGCCCAGGAATACTTCGTAGTAGGCAATAGAGGGTACAGTTCCCAAGAACGGAAACTCATACTTAAATATCGTCCATTTTCCAAGGCTCGTAACATAGATAGTTTATTATCTTCATTCAACGCAACGTGAGGCATTCGCCATTGTATTTTGAATAATTCAAGTATCGGTTCTGTCACTGAATCTCTCACTATGTAACCATTGCGCGCTCGTATCAAAATCAATTCATAACGATCGTTAAATACCACACATTTGTAATCTTCGCAAAAGCCCAACAACATGCTGAGCGGCATACAAATATTAAACTATCTATTGTCTGTCATTAGACATTTCGAGATATCATTAGAGTTAAGAAATCCCGCATTATGCAAACTATATATGCAATTTCATTAGAAAATGTTGCATAACCTTTCATAAGAAGATTAGTCATTTCAACGTTTCTGCTACGGTCGATCTCCATACCGTTGAGTTCATATCGAATTTCATCAAACATAAATGCTACGCAATTACATCCAAGCTTTGATCGGTTTTGTACATTTTCTTCCTTTGAAGTCAATCTACCTTCGACATAGAGAATGCTTTCACATGATAACGTGTATAAATCCTGCTGTTGTATGGGTATCCTTATCTCGCTATGTCCAAACGTTGACGTATGGATTGTACGTGTGAACCTCGAACTTGATGATGCGATTATCAAAGATCGGTTCGCCTCCAATATTCAAAATATCAGTCATCTCAGATATTTCGTACGACAAAGCCCAATGATTAAAAAAATTTAACGTTCGATGCTGTGAGTTTTTTTTCTACTGAACGATCGAATGTTTTTGATTGCTATCATCTCTCTGGCCAAAAATATGTCTTTAGTCTGTTTCGCCTGCTCATTCAGAACAAGCACTTCACGTTATCTTTGTCGTATCACTTTATCGATGTCGCCTCCGTATATGCAATCTAACGGTGACCTCTACGCGAAAATCGAGCAATCGGCGTCTTGATCCACAATGCGAAGTGTCAGATCCGTGATGCTCCATACGATGTAAATGATCTGCGTAGGTCTTTCCGATATCTTATATCCTGATGGTTTGGTGAAAACTCATGTATCGCGTGCTACACTTGTCGTTGCTGTATGCGGTCACGTTGCATTCAATGCGAATGATGTTTACGTTGATGATATTTATTGATTCATCCGATTCATGCCATTTGTCCTGGTTCCAACACTTGATTCGATGAAAATCCTAATAGTGATTCAATGTTGTAAGGTTTAATGAAATTTACTCGATAAGCGCATTTGATCTATTCATTGTATTATTATTAGCGCGAATAATCAATGGATACTCTTCATCCTCTTTGCGAAGCGTTTTCTCTCTGGCAGTATTGTTGGGACGAGATTGTAAAATTGCACGTTTTAGGTATTCGTTTGTCACGTATTTCGTACGATCCTTCTGGAATGACAAGTACCTTCGTCAAAGTAAAATTTATTATTCAATGAATTTACATTAGATATCGTATGATAAGTTTCAAAGCCCGTCCTCGTCCTCGTCCAGACCGAACTCGTAATCGCCATCGCTCAAATCTATCGGCCGGAAAGTAGCAGGCCGCGAGGACGGTAAACATAAATGTCAGTGACATGTTTGAATGAATACTGAGTTGAAAAAGTGCAATGTCAATTCTTAAATTGATCATCAATCGTCTGTAAAACTGCAGACACAGTTATCCACAGTTACTTTGATCGTTGATAAGGCGTGTGTGATTATACTCGATTTGCGTTACGTCCAAATATCGCACCTTTCCTTTGATGGTCGAAGAATGCCAAAATTATCAAAGTAAACAGCACGCTTCCTCGCTTCGCATGCACCAATTAGTGAGCACCTGGTCCCTCGACATTATACAAATTTACGATACTGCTTTCATTTCGGTAATATACTCTTCCCATTGGTAAGATAGTATCCAAAAAAATACCTCTAAAATATGGAATGTGCATAAGTTTTGCCAGTTATTATTAGGTGTTGGAATTAATTCGTAGCGTTTTTTAATGAAAGAATGTTATTTATTTCACATGAGCATTAAAAAATACATTAATGAAAGTACTTCCCATCACTTGTAAAACGCTACGAATTAATTCCAACACCTAATACAATTCTGCGTTGGTACAGGGTGGGCCATCTATTGGTACGTTTTTAAAAATGCGATCAAATGAGCATACATTGATATTTTTTATTAATTTTTTTTTTGTTGTGAAGCTAAAAGTATCCGCGTCAAGAATGAAAAACGATTTCGTTCATGTGGCTCCCTCTACTGGCCTTACAGTATGCCATTCGGTCACCCCAATTATTAATGACATTTTGGACTACCTCGGCGCCAATTTCACTCAAAACAGTCGTAATATAATGTCATCCACTAACATCCCTTTCTCACGAACTTTCCTCACCAATTTGCGTATAGCTCCTTCGGTGGGTGCTCTATCACGACCCATATTTCTTTTCAAAATTCGTACAGTTTCGGCGACACAGCACTGACTTTGAAAATAAGTTTTTAAAATTTCAAAACGCTCTTCAAGAGAAAACATGTTGTTTCGTGCCGCGGACGGTATGACTAATAAACTGTCAAAATTTCGGGTCTGTAGCTCGTTCGGTGTTGCCATACGACGAAATTCAAAAACGTACCAATAGATGGCCCACCCTGTAGTTGTAATGCCCTTAGGCATTTTTATCGTTTTTTGTCCTTTTTTTTTATTTTTTTTTAGTTTTCTCTGTTGAGATCCCTCGTCCACGCTTGTACAGAGCGAAGTAAATTCCATGACCTTCTATGACACAATTATGACGTTTCGATTCTTC